GAGTTGTTTGGAGTATTACAGGTGACCAGGTCTGCGGGGTGACGTTGAGTTCAGGGAGGCAGGCCTCAGGATGTTCATGGGAGTGTAGCTGAGGTGCTAGCACTATATGACGTTTTGGAAAGAGGCTAAGGAGCATCCAAGTCTATAGATTAGACTTCAGCTAAGTGTGGGATAGAGGGTCACGTGACTTAAGACAGCCAAGTTGGTGGTAGAGCCTGTGGATCATTAAGGAAATAGAGGGCCAAGTCCCCTGAGACTCAGGATGTAGGCTTATTGAGTGGCAGTGTCATAGATGGGTCATGGAAGTAAGTGGTTTTTGGTCTTGCTGGAGAAGCTGGGTTGGGATGTGGTTGGTGGTTTGGGTTCTGTGGAAGATGGTTGAAGTTTCAGTGGTGGCTGGTGGAGGGAAGATGTTGGGGAAAGTTAGGGCCTGACTAGGTGGAATGGAATAATAGCTGTGGCTGGGAATGGAATTAGAAAGGCGAAGACTGGTTGTAGGTCGAAAGAAACAAAACCAAGCAAGCTGTGTGAACTTGAGCTTGGACAAAGCCTATGGCCTTTGCTTGCTTCTCTGGCCTTGGTTCTGAGTGGCTGACACCATGGTGAGAGTCTCTCCTTTCGAACTTAAAGTCAGCTCCAGCCCACTGTGGTCAAGGTGGCATGTGCCAGCGTTAATACCCAAACTCAAAAGGGTTAAACTTAGCCACAAGGTGTAGCTTGTTGGCTTTTCTGTGAGACCTGGGAGATGGTTTTGGTTTACTCTCTCACAGTGTATTTTACATGGCGTATTGATTTTTTTTGTTTTTGGTTTTTTTGTTTTGTTTTTTGTTTTTGTTTTTTTGCTCAGAAGTCAGGTGTGGGAGAAGACTCCTTGGTTAGGGTCTGTGTGGTCTGGCCCCCGGTTCAGTATGAGTGTGTAGGCCTGGGCTGTGGAGTGGAGGGAGATGCTTTGCTGTTTGATTTCTCCTGACATTGAGCTGACACACCAAAACTGACCACGTAGCAAGGTGGGAGATGATAGCCAGGGGAGTTGGGAATGGGCTGCAGCTGAGCAGGGCCCTGACATCATCCCCTGCCTGCCCTGGGCCTCCTATGTGTGTGCATCCTAAGGTGTATCAAGTGATTCACAGACACTTTCTCATCTGATTCTCACCCATGGCCTCTGTGGTTTGTCAAATAAGGAAACTAAGGCTTAGTGGAGCTGCCTGACTCGCCCCAAATCACACAGCTTTCAGAAGTAAAGCTGGGAGTCAGTTGTCTTCTGTTAGCACTGTGGGAGCAGGTGGTGTTGGGCTGGCAATCTGTAGGCCCTCAGTGCATGCTAGCTGCTTTGTAAACCTAGAGTCCCCCTTCCCACTGGACCACACTGTGTACACCTCTGGTATGTATTCCCTGGCTTGGTTATCTTTTCTTTGTAGCTGAGGTTCTATGCTGCCTTCTCTGTTTGTTGTTCTGCTTTGGCTTTGGTTTATAACAGTGCCCACTGATGCCAGTCACCCTCATTCTTAGAACTGGAGGCTAGTTAAAAAACCGTTAACAGATGAGTGGGCTGGAGCTAGGAGGCGGGCATGGCTTGTCTGAGGTTACCTGAGGTGGTGGTCACTGAGACAGAATTAAAGTCGATACTGCTTTACTTGAGTTTACTGCAGGCTGGTGCTGAAGCAAAGAAAATCGATGGCTCTGTGGCCTGAGAGGGAAGCAGTGGGACAAAGCTGGGGTGAAGGCCCAAAGTAGGATACACAGAGGAGGGGCTGACGGCCAAGCATGGCATCACTTGCCTTCCAAGAGGCAACAAGTGTGCTGAGGCCCGTGCCCCTTGCGGGGTAGCAGACCGTAGTGCTAGGTGGCTACAGGAAAGCATTTCTGTGGTGAAAGTATGTCCCTGTGCTGCTTTGTTGGGTGCATCTGCAGGGTAGATAGCAGCTGGGATATGCGGGAGGTGGCATGTCGTGGTTTCTGTTCCTCCTCTCAGGAGGGAACAGGGCTGGAAGCTGGGATCAGGTCTATGGCAGCAGACCCTGTTGTGACCAGTGGTTTTCTGCAGCCAAGGATTTCAGGTCCTTGATGTCACTGTGAATGGTACCTCTGCCTTGCCTGTTACAGATGTGAGGTTTAATGAATTTAATTTATAAATTAAATAAATGGATTTAATAATAACATTAGTAATAATAACAATAATAAAAGGCCAGGTGTAGTATTACACAACTTTAATCCCAGCACTTGGGAAGCAGACTCACTCTCTGTGAGTCTGAGGCCAGGTTGGTCTACACTGGAAAGTTCCAGGCCAGCCAGACTCCATCTGAGGGGAAAAAAGAAAGAAGATTGTGCCATCTCTTGCCCCTAAAGTTTGAAAGCCTCTTCATGGCACCTGTTGACATTGCTGTAATAGAATGATGGAGCATGACTTTCGCTGAGGCTCAAACTTGTTCAGTGTCAGTGGAGGGGGTTTAGCTGGTAGCTGTTAAGTGCTGGGCTCAGCTCACAGCACCGGATGAATGCATGGGTGAAGGAGGTGAGGTCTAGGTCCTTAGTGCCTGGGGAACTCACTGCCTGGTGGCCAGACATGAGCTTTTAGCTGAGTAAGCTGGACCCAGAAGACTACAGGAGGAAGCAGAGGAGGCCACAGGGCCAATGGGGTGTTAGGCAGAACACCATGAGGACCGGCCCAGAACTTGGGCTCTCCTTGGGTTTAACAGGAAGCCTCATGGCGGAACAATGAGGAAGTGGTGCTCAGCAGAGCATTGTCAGCTGAGCAACAGGTGCCCTGGATGCTGCAGCTGTGTGCTCGGGAGCAGGTCACCTGCAGACCCTCTTGGGAAGGCTGGACTTACGTATTCTCAGGGAAGCAGGTTCTTCTGGGTGTCCCTGCCAACTTGCTCACCGGGGATAGCCTGGAGAGGGTATCTGGGCCTAGGTTAGAGAAACAACTGTACAGCACTATCTACAGCAGTGGTTTGCAGTCTGGGTTGCTTGAGGGCTGGGGGTGGAGCAGTGCTGTCTTTGAGAACTAGAGCCAAACTGTGGGTTTTTCATGATAGGCACATTTGCTTAAAATTTGCTTTCAGTTACAGGACATTTATGGAGTCCTAGGTTAGGATCTGATGCCTTTGAAGGCATTTCTGTTAGAATACAACAGAAAGGATGGTTATAGAATCCTGGTATCACTTTATGTTCCCGAGAAAGATGGGGGAGAATGATGGGCTGACATCCACTAACATGCTCTGGTTCCTGGCTGTTTCTCTTTTTAAATCCTGCTTCATTATTGGGATACGCTGTGTTTGTTCTTGTGCAGCAGTTCCACAGAAGTGAGGATACTAGGTAACAGGGTCTGGGGTACTTAAATTTTCCTTGGTATTATCAAATAGCCTTTCAAAGAAAATGATGTCATTTGCATGCCTACTAAATGGGCTGAGAGTGCCCCTATCAAGGGCTAGAAATACAGCTCAGGTGGTAGAGTGTTTGCCTCACATGCATGAAGTCCTGGGTTCAACCCCAGCATGCCTTTAGCCCCAACACTTGGGAGGCAGAGGCAGAGGCAGAGGCAGAAGAAATCAGATTCAAGGCCATCCTCTGCCACACAGTGAATTCAAGCCTGGCCTGGGCTACTTGATACTCACCCCTCCTGCCCCCCCTTAAAATAATAGAGGGAGAAGGGAAGGGTAGAAAGAGGGAAGGAGCAAACAAACAAGAGAGGTGTCCAGAGGTGCTTGGCAGGCCTGGATTTGGACCTGTGTCTGACCTCTGGATACGTCTTAGGTCAGCCGCTCATTCTTCAAGTTCTGGTCTCCTCATCTGTGGAATTCTGGGAGTATCATGAGTCACCATGTAGATTTGAGTGTGTTAATCTTTTATTCTGAGGTTGATTGATTTTAGCCCCTTTGGGTAATGGAGGCAGGAGGACAGGAGGCAGGACAGGAGGCCACATATGTGGCCGGTGAAAGCCACATATGTGGAGGTCACAGGGGAGCCAGGCTCTTAGGGCATATCCAGGAGGGAGCTGCTGTGACAAGGGCAGTGGTCCAAGCACTCATAGGTGGTAGCCAAGTAGGTGTCCAGCAGGCTCACAAGTAGCCACATGGAGTCTTATTATTAGTTATGAAAGCTTGGCCTTAGCTTAGGGTTTGTTCCTAACTAGTTTTGTTTTTCGAGACAGGGTTTCTCTATATAACTGTCCTGGGTGTCCTGGAACTCACTCTGTAGACCAGACTGGCTTCGAATTCACTGAGATCCACCTGCCTTGGCCTCCTGAGTTCTGGGATTAAAGGCGTGTGCCACCACCACCAACTGGCTCTAACTAGTTTTTATAACTTAAAATTAACCTATACTTTAAAATCTATGTTCCATCTTGTGGCTTGATACCTCATCTCTCTGTATTGCCCATCCTGCTTCCTTGGCACTGGCTGGCAACTCTCCCTCGTGCCTAGACTCTTGTTCCTACTTCCTCTCTCTCTGCCCAGAAGTCCCGCCTATACATCCTGCCTAGCTATTGGCCATTCAGTTCTTTTATTAAATCAATCACAGCAATGTATCTTCAACACCCCTGCCTCATCCCTTCAGCCAAACTGACTGACAGTTGGTTCTGGTCATATGACCTCAGTTTCTTCACATGCAGAATGCCCTGATGAAATCAAGGGTTCCTCCAGCTTTGCGTTTCCATGCAAACTGAAGTAGCATGGGGTTTTCTGAGGGCCAAGGGCTGAGGCTGTCGATGGACCGGTCTCATTTGATTGTCCTTCCTCTTGCTTGTCTCTGTTGTCTGGGACGGCCCTCAGAACAGGGCCTGGGCATGAGTCCCTCTGTCATCTCCCCCGGAGGATTTGAGAGCAGCTTGTCTTACATGAGGACGAAGGAAAAGGTCAGCAATTGACTGGAAGAGATGTTCTTGGTGTGTGGGGAGATAGGTTGGCCTTAAAGGGTTCTGGCCCCACTGGGCTTCTTAGGAAGGACGGACTAAAGGGAGGGCCTCCCACCTATTCACCTCCATGTGTTCTATCTTGCAGGTGTAGGCAAGAGCAGCTTGCTGTTACGATTTGCAGACAACACCTTCTCAGGTGGGTCTTCCCCAGGTGCTGGGGGTGGGGGTGCTTTGGTTTTGAAATCTACCCTATTCCAGAACCTACCTGCTTCTGTCTGATGCAGGTTGTTGGCTGAGGGAAAGTGGGGTAGGAGACTGAGGTGAGACACTCCTACTGTTCCTTATTTTCCCACCGAGGGTCTATTTGTGCCCCACATTTAAGAATTTAAAGTCTTACTAGATAGATAGTACATGTCTAATAGGAAGATGTCCATGACGTAGAAATGACAGTTGTTTCCACACCATTCCTCTGCTGCTCTGGAGCCTCTGTTCAGGGTGTGGTGTAGGGGTGTAAATGTCTTTTCCTGACCCCACCTGATATTCAGAAACTTGCTCCAGCCTTGCTATCCACAGACCCCCCTACCCCCACCCCAGTTCTGATAGTTTTTAGACTGTTTCCCTGTGGATCTCTGGCTTAGCTTGGAACTTGCTATGTAGACCAGGTTGGCCTGGAACTCACAGAGATCCACTTACCAAGTAGTGGTATTAAAGGCACATGCACGTGCACTACCATCCCCAGCCTTCCTTTTGTTCTGTAAGGGCTGGCCTTCACTAACACCACTCAGGTCATGTGGCTTCTGTTGCTTCTCTTTTATTTATTTTTATTTATTATGTATACAACATTCTGATTCCATGTATATCTGCACACCAGAAGAGGGCACCAGATCTCATTACGGATGGCTGTGAGTGGGAATTGAACTCAGGACCTCTGGAAAAGCAGCCAGAGCTCTTAACCTCTGAGCCATCTCTCCAGCCCCCCTGTTGCTTCTCTTTTAATCAGTGCTGTATTTCTGGGATACATTGTTTCTTCTTGAACACACACAACTGAGGTTACTAGGTCATAGGGTCTAAGGGTGTTTAAACTTTGCTTGGTACTGCCAAATTGCTTTTTAAAAACCTCATTTATGTCAGGAGGTAGTGACCATGCCTTTAATTCCAGCACTTGGGAAGCAGATCTCTGAGTTCAGGGACAGCCAGGGTTGTTACACAGAGAAACAAAAAAAAAAACCTTATTTGACTGAAGCTGAGGGCAAAGGGAACATGCCAAGTATTTTTTTTTTTTAAGATTTATTTATTTATTTATTTATTTATTGTGTATACAGTGTTCGGCCTGCATGTATCCCTGCAAGCCAGAAGAGAACACTTGATCTCCTTACAGACAGTTGTGAGCCACCATGTGGTTGCTGGGAATTGAACTCAGGTCCTCCGGAAGAGCAGCCAGTGCTCTTAACTTCTGAGCCATCTCTCCAGCCCGACATGCCAAGTATTTAATGAGGGCCTTAGCTTACAGTTTCAGAGGGTCAGTCCATTATCATCCTGGCAGGGAGCATGGCAGCCTGCGTTGCACTGAACTGAAGCTGAAAGCTACATCCTGATCCACAAGGGAGGGGCGGGGAAGGGAGGAGAGGAGAGGGACTAACTGGGCCTGGCATGGGCTTTTGAAACTACAAGTGACATTTCTTTCAACAAGGCTACACCTCCTTATCCTTGAAATCCTTTCAAAGAGTTCCACTCCTTGGTGACTTAGCATTCAAATATATGAGCCTATGGGGGCTGTTCTTATTCCGACCATCACACCATGGCATGTGTGTGTAGATCGGGACAGTTAGGAGTTGGTTCCTTGTTTTCATCATGTGGGACTGAACTCAGGTCCTCCTGCTTGGCTGCAAGCTCCTTCACCCATTTGAGCTACCTCACCAGTTCCCAGATTGTTTTAGGAAGCTGTGGGCATCTGCGCTCCTGTCAGCTCTCAGTGTTTTTTACTGTCTCTACATGTTTTATCCGCATGCATGTCTGTGGTTACAAGTTTCAATGTGGGTGCTGGGAATTGAACCCAGGCCATCTACTGGGGTGTGGAACAGCATCTCTGGACCAGATACACCCACTCGATGCCAGTAGTACTGTGACAACCAAAATTGTCTCCAGATAGTAATATTCCCACATGTCCTCAGGGGAACAAAGCCACCCTGGTTGAGTACCACTGGTCTTCAGAACCTGTTGCTAGCTTTTTTCTTGTGCTGTGTGTTGACCCTGTCTTGCTTTGCTTGCTTACGTGTGAGGAGCTGCTGGCCCTGGAGGTACCAAACGTGGCCTGGTTTCTGGTGCTTGGCCCAGTGTAGGCCATCACCCCACTTCACCACCCTCGTTAAGCTTTCCTGCTAACTCTTCCATTTCTACCTTTCCCATGCCCTTGCCACACTTCACATGGTCATCTGTATCTGTCTTTTGAAAGACTTGTTGCTGTGTTCTGGATAGGTAGGTGTTTGTAAGCCTGCTGCATACTGGACCGTAGAAGTCAGCGGCGGCACCCTGTGCGCTGGTGAAAACTCATTGTCCCATGCATAGAACAGTACAAATTCTCAGCCATGGCACAAAGCCTGGAGGACTGGTTCTGACTCCTTATTCACTTCCCACCCTGGGCTTAGCCTCACAGACTCCAAAGTCACCATGGATATTTTGCTATCATCCCCCCAGGAAGGTGCAATGTTGGGT